AACATCACAAAGCAGCCCCGCTACTTTGTTTCGAAAAATCTGTTGTACAAAAAATTGGGGAAGGTTAGAGGTGTTAGCAGTATTGGGGATCTGACTGAGGCTTTGGATGTAGGTAGACAAAGTGCTACAATTGATTTAAACGAATTTAAGCACACTCCCAAGTCGTGGTGGAACGAGTCCTTGGCTAAAAAATACAGGCTACTGAATGCGGCGCGTTGTAAAGCTAGGAAAACAAGGAGATTTGAGGGTATTGAAGTGGCGTGTCAATTGTTAGACGAATGGAAAGCAGCGGTCAAGGAGGCAAAAAAAGCTAACTTCCTTGAAGAAGTTGAGGAGTTAAGTGCATACCCAAATACGAAAAGGGCCTGGGTGTTCATCAATAATGTGAAAAATGTACAAAAAAATTCAGTCTCGCAGTGGCTTTCTGAAAATAATGCTGCGTATTTAGAATTTCTGTTGAACCAGATAGTTAATAAACATTCCCCATCACTTTTTGAGATGCTAGACAATTTACCGTCGACGTCGGGTCGATCGGACTTGGTTTGTGATCATATCTTTTCGCGGCTTTCACTGCTAATAGGGAAAAAGAAGTCCTCAGCTGGAGGAGAGGACAAAATTACTTACAAGATGCTTAAGGCTCTCCCCGAGGCTACCGACACTTTGGTAGGTCTTTTGCAACAATTTTTTGATAGAAACCAAATTGATAACTCCTGGCGTAGGATTAAAATTGTACCGATACCGAAGGGTAATGGCAGTTTAGAGAACATTGAAAATTTCAGGTCGATTTCTCTTATTTCGGTCATGGTTAAAAGTATCAATATGGTTGTCAAGGAGCTGTTAACTGATTACTTGGAATCGAACCAACTCATCCCTTCTAGGTGTTTTGCATATAGGAGAAATAAATCGACTGCAATGTGTTTGAATGAGTGTATGCAAGTAATAGGTAGTGAGAAACAAAATAAAAAGAAAGTTTTTATATGTAGTATTGATCTAGCGAATGCTTACAATTGCGTGGACATTGTCCAGCTAGTGAAACTGTTGAATGAATATAAGGTGCATCCCAAAATCTACAGTTGGATTTACAATTTTCTCCACAGGAGAACTCTGATCCTTGGAGAAAGCGAGATTTGTGTGGAAAATGGGTTACCGCAGGGTAGCTGTCTTTCACCGGTTTTGTTTAACACATATACAGCTGAATTACATGGCTTAGAAGATGTAAATACTCACATCTTCCAATTTGCAGATGACTTTCTACTTGTGTCAACTGACAGCACGACAACAGGGGCTCTAAATAATTTGAGGAATAAGCTTACAGCATTTCAGAGTTTATGTTCTGGGAGGTGTTTAAAAATAAACATAGCTAAAACGAAGTTTATGTATATGGCAAAAGGGTGTAAGAACTATTTTTCCTTGAAGTTAGATAATGTTGACATTGACCGAGTAGGACAGTTGAAGTTCCTGGGGAGGATAGTTAGTGCTTCTGGAGCATTGAAAGATCATGTGGTGAAGATTAGAAAGGAAATTGTACCAGCTACGAACTTAATTAGACGACTCACCTCCATTAAGGCGGGGCTATCGCATCCTTGCCTGACTGTGAAGAAATCAAGTATTGCCGGATCGAAGAAAAACATCGCGAGAGACCAACTGATTGCGATTTATAATGAGATGAAAAGCTCACTGATTGATGAGAGGTTTTATATTTATTCCACGGATGCCTCGTGCACCGGTGATGGGGTAGGTTATGGTGTGTATGATTTGCAATGTAATGCTTCTTTTCTTTATAGGCTGGAAGAGAAATATGCGTCGATCACTGGAGAGCTTGTTGCAATCAGACAGGCGGTGGCGCTTAGTGCCAAACAAAAAAGAACTAAGGCAGCAATTTTTTCAGATAGTTTATCTGCCCTCGAAGCTCTAGATAAGGATTCGACAGAGAATTTTTTGGTATCGGATATACATAAATTATTGTATGCACAGAGGGAAACCTTGCAGCAAGTTCTTTTTATATGGGTCCTAGGTCATGTGGGGATTGGGATAAACGAGAAGGCTGATCTGGCGGCTAAAACTGCCACCTCGGTTGGCCAAATCATTTCTATTGGTCTCACTCCATATGAAGCTATTCTCAGGCTTCATGATGCTATTTGGAGTGAATGGAATTTGGAGTTTAAGGAATTGAATCAGTCAGTAGGGAAGAAATTTGCGGAGTATTCCCCTGAAATTGTGAGAAAACCATGGTTTAATGATAAAAGGCTTAAAATGAATAGCATGGAAATTAAGCTGATAAATAGGCTCATGTTAGGTCATACTTATTGCAACTACTATTTGAGCAAATTTAATCCTGGGCGCCTGGGTCACTGCTCTACGTGTAACTTCCCTGAAACTGAGGAACATGTCATTTTTGAATGCCAAGTACTTGAGCGGATTCAAATGGCTTGGTGGAGCTATTGAAATCCAACAATCTTGATTGTTATAATGAGCTTATAACCTTCCTTATTGAAGCAAATATGATTAATGCGTTGTAACTAAAAGATGCGGGATTGTAAGACAAAAGAAAAATGTACATACAAAACTATAGTAAGCGTAAGATACAAAGATAGGCATATAAAATTCAATTTTCAAAAATGTTATGTAAAAGTCTAATATACATAGTGGATTTTTCATCAGTACAAAGTACAAACAATATTTAAACACAAGTAGTGTTAATCTTAGTTTTTAGACCACATTACTCATGCATTAATTGTCTTAAGATAAAAATGGGTATATCTCAATACACTCACAGATATAGACTAAGGGTTAGAGTTTAGAAGTTAGATTTAAGTCTGATTTTTGAATCTCCTAATTAATTAAAATTATTTAAAAAAAAAAGAGTAATATTAATTGTGTGAGGAAAAGTTTGGAAGTTTAGGAAAAATTTTAAGTAACACCTCATCTTGAGGTATGGCAAAGCCACAGATTAACACACTGAAACCTGGAAGTTACCAGCTCGCAAAAGAGCTATCTTGCTGTTGCTGTCAAGTAAAGCAGCTGTATATCTACACGACGAACATATCGGATTCGAGCCGTTTCAAAAGATTGGCAAATTATCTTGAGGAGGCGCATTGAACAATAATCTGAAGGAAACCTGGCAGTTTAAGGGAATTTGTAATCCTTGCCATTTACGGATCTACGGATATAGATCTAACGATATCCAAAAAAAATATACAATTGATCGGTTTTATAATAAATACCTCTGGAAAAATGAGGCTAACACAATTTCTGTGCACCAAATTAAAGAACTTCTCAAACTTCCCAAAGGAATATATAGAGCGGAGCAAGAAGCAGGTTTGTAAAGGATCTTACAACCTCCGAAATTGCTATCAAAATAGCAGCAACAA